ACGTCATTAGTTCATGAACACGAATTGATGGCTCTCGAGTGCTCTTTAAATAACTGTGAGGGTAGGATTGGCTTTTCTGTCTCAAGAGTTTGCCAACCCCTGTTCTAGAGCAGGCTGTGCACACAGCGCTCTCAAGGAAGGGCGTCCACTTCCCTCAAGCATTCCAAAGCCCAGTGGTACAGCGAGGACAAGAGCCACCTTGGGCAGGGCCACCCAGACAGTTCACTAGGGAGGGTCACACTACTCTCTTGCCCCGCTCAGCACACACTCACTAAGCCCTCTGTCTCGACATCTATTCCTGCGTCGGTGTGCCTGGCAGACTGTGCCGCTTCCCCAGCCCCACTGTTACACACAGGCCACCTGCCAGCGGACCTGGGTCTGGCAGGACATAGCACAGGATGTACACCTACTTGGTCTTGTACACACACAAAGGATGTGCACCTACGTGGTCTTGTGTATACACACACACACACACACACCTGCAGGGGACGTCACACAGGATGCGGTCATAGAAGAGCATCTCCTTACGGCCATCCATGTCCATCTGCAGCCGGGGGATGCTGGCCGCGTCGTGGTTGACCACCATGATGCAGGGGCTGCCCAGTCTCTTGGCCTGGTGGACGAGCAGGTAGCAGCGCTTGTTGTCCACATCATTGGCGATGACAAAGCCCTCTGTGGAGGGAGATGGGGACAGCAGCAGGGAGGACGCGAGGTCAGAATCCAGGCGATGGCAGGGAGTATTCGGGAACACGCCAAGAGACCAGAAGGGGCCGCTCGAACCTAGGGGAACCAAGGCCCCCAGCACCCCCGCCTCTGGGGCCCACCTGGGAAGGGGGTGTTCAAGTCCGCATGCAGCATCTCGATGAGCTGGGTGGTCTTGGAGCCAGGGGCTGCACACATGTCCAGGATCTGTGAGCAGGAGAGAACCACAGCACGTGAGCGGGCTCTTCTCACAGAGAGGGTCCATGACTGCCCACTTCCCCAGTAGCCCCCTTGGGAGAAAGTTGTGGCAATCTGCTGAGGCAAAAACTCACAGCCTCAGGAAAGCCCACACGGGCCGCTGAGTCTGAGCTGACATGCCAGCAAGGGGCTGGGTACATTTTCATGCCTGGGGGGTGGAGGCATGAACGCTATTAAGAAAAAAGGTTTCAATAAAATGAAATAAATAGCCACAACATGGACAGCAGCCTCTCCCCGCCTCTATCCAACACTGCACCCTCCCCAGGCCCCACCCCCAACAGTGGCATGGCCCTGCCCCGGATACCTTGTGATGGGGCTGGACGCTCAGCAGCAGTGGGGGGATCATGCTCACAGCTTCCTGGCGACTGATGTTTCCCTGAGAGAGAGCAGAGCCCGCAGCCCATGGAGCTGCTGCAGGGGCAGCACCAGGCTTGGGCGCAAGGGGACGGGGACCACAAACGGCGGGACACGCAAGCCTGCTGTTACAGAACACTGTGTCAATGACAGACAGCGGGAACTCCCAGAAACTAGTGAGAAAGGTCCAGTCTCCCCCTCCCACTGTCTGCGAGCCTCTTGGATGCATGGGCAGACTGGGCACCATCTGGAGCCTGAGGGGCTTGGTGGTGGACCCCTGGCCTTCCAGGTCAGGGACCTGGGGTGACTCCCGGCCAAGGCCCTTCAGGCCCCCACCTGTCTGTCAGCAGGGAGTGGGGACTGTGTCTCCAGGCTGCAGTTGCCATGGGGCTCCCGGGCTCAGTGGACCCAGGAGAAAGGCCTGGCGATCCACATTCCACGGTCGGGCCGTCAGGCGCCTAGCTTTGAGGGGTGAGGTCCTAGTTGAAAACCCCTGTCTGACTGCTCTGACGGCTGCACTGACTCACAGCCCTGCGCCACAGTTGCAGGTCAGCCACTTTGTCAGGAAAGGAACCTGGGGCTCACAGACACAGAGCCAGCGCCAGCATTGGCCGGGCCACTGCCCCACCGAGGACCCAGGGCACCAAATCCTGGGGGGTCGGGTCTGGGCAGTGGTGTGTGGCAGCGGGGTGCCCTGTTCTACCACTCCCAAGGACCAGCCACCACCCCACGCACTGAGATTCTAGTTTTAACAAACAGGACACCAAATACACGTATGCCCTGCTTTTCTTGACTTCCTGAAATTAAAATTCCCACATATGGGGTGATGATCAAACAGATCCCTTTCTTAAATTGCTAGGAATAAAAAAAGGTCAAATTGACTACATGACATCCTCACATGTCATGTGTCATGACAATGCGCACAACACACACCTAGTTAGGACCTGTTATCACACACACCAAGGGTATGAACTTCCAAGAGTGCCTCACCTGCCAATGGAGTGCTCACACACACACCACCCCGTGCACCGACAGACCCGGGGACACACACATTGAGAGCTGTCACTCACAGACTCCGTCTCGCTGACCAGAAACTGGTGGAACTTCTCCAACTGCGGAGACCTGCGCAGGACCTTCCGACTCAGGTTAGTGTGCCAGGCCAGCTCGTCGGGGTACCTAGCCAAGAAGGGCAGGAGGCTCACATACCATGTGTGCACAGGGCAGAGGCCACCTGCGCCCGACCCTGCTGCCGCAAACACGGCCCTGGGGGCCCCGGCTACCGCTGTCTTGGGGAGCTCAGGCCACGGGGAATACGGGAGTCGGTCCGAGCTCGAGGTGCACAGGGTAAACACACAGCACGGCCTGACAAATGGACACTGGAGGAGGAGGGGCGCCCAAGGCCCTCAGCACCGGCACAGGGTGGGCAGCTCCTGGCACACAGCACCAAGCAGGGACTGCCGGGAAGGATGACATCTTTGTTGACCAAAGCTCCGGACAGGAAAGCCCTGGCTTTGGCAGGTCACTCGATTGTCCCCTTGCAGGGCAGGATTCTCAGGGAGAGCAGGGGCATGCAGGTACCGACAGCCAGCCGGTGAGTGTCCTGAGCTTGCCTCCACACACGCCATCAATACACGCCTTCCCCGTCACACCACCTGCACATGCCACCCAGACGGCCAACTTCAAATTCAGATGTGCGTTCTCAACAACAGTACGTAGGAACCTTGAAGTACACAAAGACGGAGGGTGCAGCCATAGGAAGCACATGACTGTCACAACTTGACACCTGCACCATTGGTGCAAGGACAGATTTTGCATCAATGCAGCTGTTTCCATGAGTCATACTCTCCGGAGAGCCTAGTCTTTCAGGAAAAAGAACTATTTGGAAATCTGCCATGCCTTTCGAGGAAAAATTAAAACCACCAGCAGCTTGCCTGCGCATGTCAAAAGGTCTGAAAAAACTTTTTAAAACCTCAGAAACATACAGTCTACGAGAAAGCCCCTTCAGTGTAGACACCAAAAGAGAACACACCCACCCAGACCCAATCATTACAGAAAGTCAGAAATTCAAGCCACATTCAGAAAGGGCATGCAAGGAAAGCGATCATTTCTGACATCGGATGGATCTTGACTGAAAGCAGAGAACACCGGAAAGACGTTTACTTGTGTTTTATTGACTATCTACCGGCCACTGTCTCCCACGCACGTGAAAGTTGGACATGAATCAGGAAGACTGAAGAAGGATCGACGCGTTTGACTCGTGGTGCTGGAGAATTACAGACAGCACCATGGACTGCTACAAGGACAAACAAACCCCTCGTGGGAGAATTACAGCCAGAGTGCTCCTTAAAAGCAAGGACGGCAAGATTTCATCTTACATATTTCGACATGTTGTCAGGAGAGACCAGTCCCTGGAGGAGGACCCATGCTTGGTAAAGTGGACGGGCAGTGGAAGAGGCAGGCCCGCCATGAGACAGATGCGCACAGTGGCTGCAACCATGGGCCCCTCCGGCATGGGAACCACCGTGAGAACGGAGCAGGACCCGGCAGCATGGGAACCACTGTGAGAAGGGAGCAGGACCCGGCAGCACCGTGCTCTGCGGTGCACAAGGTCGCTACGGGTCGTTACAGGCTCCATGGCAGCTAACAGCAGAGGCATGTGACGTGTGGGTCACAACACAGTGAGGAGCGCATCTCATTCAGCTCCCGTGGCACCCGCCCGTAGTGCACAAAGAAACATTCCTTCACAGACAGCAGGGATGCTACATGATTTAAAATCAGGAAAGGCGTGGGTCAGGGTTATACCCTTTCACCATGCTCATTCACTCTGTACACTGAGCAAATATTCCCAGTGGAGGGCCCCGTTCTTTGCCCCCCAAGTGACAAGTGGGCACCCCTGTACCTACCAGCTCAGTGGCTGCGGAACCTCAACCTTCTGACCGTCCACCTCCAGGTCCTCCAGCTCCTTGAAGTACTTGTTCTTCAAGCAGTGGAGAATCTCTTTCGCGTGGCTACGGAAAGAACAAGTAAATCTCAAACCCTTCTGAGAAGTGAATGTAAAAGTTTATTCACCCTTTTCTCTTTTTCACATGTTTCCAGTGCTTCGAAACGAAACCAACTTAGCACGGTGGGGAGGCTTTCTTTTCTCTGCCTTTCTACTGCTTTCCTTCAAAACAGCCACACGATGGGACTTCAGAAAGATGCAATCGGCAAGCAAGGGCATTTTCCCAGAAACCATTTCACCCCCTCATTGTAGGAAGCGATGGTTAAACCCAAGACTTCCTTCCTGCCTCAACACATCGGACCTGCAGAAGACGGAAGGAAACAGGCCAGGGAAGGGAAACGCTTGCTGGTATTCTCCAGGAAGGCAAGTGTAGTTGGCAAAGAGGGGGACTGCCCACAGTTCAGGCCTTCTCAGCCACCTACAATGGACCGACTGCTCCACTTGACCTGCAACTCGCCTCAGAAAGACGGTTAACAAAGGGCTTGTCTACAGAAGTTCTCTGCTAATTGCTATTGTGAGTTGTCCAAGAGTTGATTCTGAACCACAGCAACCCCACGTGATGAGAACTGCTCTGTGGGGTTTTCCTGGCTGCAATCTTTCCAGAAAGATTACCACCAGATCCTTCTGCCACAGAGCAGCAGCAGTTATCAGCTGAGAAAGTCCTGCTGCAAATCCCCACCCATGTGGTTGGTCCCGAGGGCCAGGCAGCCCAAACAGACAACGGCCCCTGCCTGCATTTCATCTCTTCCTCTGGGGGCCACTAGCCATGCACCCGGTTCAGTGGAAGAATTCTCACTTCCACAGTGCAGGGGTCAAAAAATCCCTGCCACCAAATCGAGTCTGACGCACGGAGACCCTCTCCAGGGTTTCCCAGACCAAATCTTGGATCAGACTGCCTCGTCTTCTTCCCTCTGAGGCTGGTGGGTTTGAACCCCCAACCTTGTGGTTAGCAGAAGGGGTTCCATTCCCTTCATAGTCACCCATGGTTATTATCCTAGTCTTCTTGCCACATGCCCAACACAAGACCACCAGTCTTCTATCTTATCAAATTGAAATCCACTGCCATCGACAGTCTTCTGACTCATAGCGACCTTATAGGGCAGGGAAGAACTGCCCCTGAGGGTTTCCAGGCTGTTAACTCTTTATGGGAGTAGAAAGCCTCATCTTTTTCCGGAGTGAGCGGCTGGTCGTTTCGAACGAGTGACCGCAACAGCGCAACTCGTAACCATTACGCCGCATATTCCTAGGCCTTGCACCGCACGTGCCCACCAGCCACCTGTTAATCCTCGGGAAGCCTGTGCTGGCCAGGAGCTGGTAGATTGGAGATCTACTTGGGAAGAGACCGGCACTGAAACCTCCAGGCGGTGCGTGGAGTCGCCACGGGCAGAGTGACTTGGACTCCAGGTCACGCGAGAGCGCTGCCCAGGTGACCGGGAGGCAGGGCGCACCTCTTGTAGCCGGTGATGCGCAGCGTGGCCGGGAGCGGCTCCCGGAGCGCGCCCATGAACTGCTCCCACTCGCCCTCGGGCACGATCTTGAGCTCCTGGTAGTAGTGCTCGAACAACTTGTTCTCCTTGACGATCTCGGGGTAGCCGCCTTCCCAGCCCTGGGAAACGAGGGGAGCGTCACCCCTAGAAGCCAGCCGGGGGACCCACGCTGGCCTGGGACGCCACCTTCCCCCGCCGCCCGGCCCTACCGCGGTGCTGCGCTTCCGGCCGCGCTCAGCGGCGTCCTCGCCTCCCTCAGACCGCTGCTGCTGCTGCTGGAGCCGCCGGACGCGCGCCCGCCGCCCCATGGCTGTCCACGCCGCCCGCAGCGCCCGCGCCACGCTGAGTCCGCGAAGCGCCGCCCGCCGTGCTCAAGGCCCGACTTCCGGGAAGGACGGGGTCCCCAATGCCAGTGCCGGGGGCGTCCACGGGCTGCCGGGCTCGCAGAAGCCCGGCAAAGGCGCCTCGGCCCCGTCCTCCCGGAGCAGCGCTGACGGCCCGGCGGAGGAGAGCGGCCCTACGCCCGGCCCCGAGAGCTGACTTCTCGTGGAGCGCCCGGGCTTCCCGCAGGGGCTCAGGCAGCGCGGCGGACAGCCCGGC